AGGAGCATAAGGAGTGAGGTCTGTTGGCTTTGTGCAGCCCTGGCCTCAAGCCCTGCTGTTGCAGGTCCCTTCACTTGGCCGGACTCCGCCTACTTGTGTTTTGAAGTCTGGCTGCATTGGATGCTCGGGATCAGAGTTTATGTAAATACCCAAGGGCTTGCTCCACACAAGAACGGACATCTGACTGCCCTCAGATCTCAACTGCAAGAGAATTATATCCAGGGGCTGAGGGGAGTGTGTGCCTTGTCCTTTGTGTCTCAGCATAGCACAGAAGCCAGAGTGCCAGATTTTATCTGTTAGTGCAACTGAATCCCGTTGGCTTGACCAAAATGCTGAGAGCTACTCTTTGCTGCTTAGCATCCTTCCCTTCCCTGCGGACATTCTTACTGCAGCCTGTGGTCTCACTGAGCGAGCTGGTCCTGCCCAACCTCCGTCGACAGGGACGGCCTGGGGAAGCTGGGTGTCCGAGAGAAAGGCGGCTTGGGGCTACAGTGTCAGTGTTTTATATTTTGATTTTAAGGAATGATCTGTGCGTTCATTCCTATTTCTCTCTTAAAAAGGACTGGAGTCTGCTCACCAAAAGGTCCTAGCCTCCCCTCTTCTGTTTTCTTTGCTTTTTTGTTATTTATAGGATACAAACACTTTCTATATTTTTCAAGCTTACTCACAGTTTCTTTGGGGATTTTTCTCCGTCATTTGTCTCCTTTTGCAGCTGGAAGGAGACAAAAAAACTCTAGTCCAGCAGCTGGTAGATGATGTCTGTGAGCCAAATCTGCCCGCCACCTGTGTTTGTAAATAAAATTTTACTGGGATGCAGGCACGCACATCTGTTTATCATTGCGGGCGTGCTGCTTTGGGGCTACAACAGCAGAGCCATACAGTTGTGACAGAGACCACAGGGCCCGGGAAGCCAAAAATGTTTACTGTCTGGCCCCTTATAGAAAAAGTTTGCTGACCCCAGCCCTAGTTCAGAGTCAAATGTAATTTTAAAATAGTATCTTACGGGGGGAGGCTGTATCTCAGTGGTAGAGCACGTACTTAGCATGCACGAGGTCCTGGGTTCAATCCCCAGTACCTCCACTAAAAAAAATTAAAAATATACAAATAAATGATTAAAAATGAAATAGTATCTTACCTAACTTGATTGGCATTGTGTAGAACCGGCATCAGCTCTTCTCTATAACAAAGTCGCCCTGCTCCCGGAGTGCCCAGCCTTCCTGTATCCATCTGACCTGCAAGTGTTCCTTAATTCCCATCCTCTACACAGTACACAGTCAGTGTGGAATGCTTGGCTCGAAGTTTGGGGTGAGGGAGGTAAAGCAAACAATTTTAGATTGAGGACTGGACACCAAACTCTGAGAATCCGTCCGGCAACCCTCCCTGTTCCCTCGAGAAAGAACTTTCTCACCATCTTGCTCTTTAGGTCTTCATACTGTTGGGCCCATCTCCTCCTCAATACCCACCTCATATCTAAATCCCCCTCACTTTATCCTGGAGAGCTGTCATGCTCCCCACTCCTAGCTTACATGGTATACCTCTACATTGGCAAATTCTGCTATGGTCCAGTTCCTGAAGAACTACTGGAATATGAGAGGGAAATTTTCTGGGATGCAGGAGGAACCTTGCTTCCCTAGGCTTCCAGTTTCTACAAGGAGGGACATCAATTAGTGGAACACTAGTGGCATCTCTACCCCTCACTCCTGCTTCCCCAGGGAGGAGGGACATCTAATATGACTGATAAACTTGGGATAAGGACCGACCATGTGCCCCTTACTCAGTATCTTCCTTCCGGGACACAACTTCCCTGAAGCTCATACTCTGGTCTTGCAGTTTGGTGGGGTAATTTCAATTCAGGGGAGTCAGGGTATTTGTGCATGAGGTGGGACTACTGATAAACAAAGAATGGAATTTGATGAGCAAACTAGCTCTCAGAGATGGAAGCTTGTGGTGGGCCAGGCCATGTGTCTAGGGCGGTTTTCCCTATGAGGAGACAAGGAGATGAAGATTTGAGTGCAAGTGATTTATCTGGAAGGTGAGCTTAGGAAGCACCAGTAGGGGTGTGAGGAAGGGCATGTAGCCAATGACAGATGCAGTATTAAGCCATTGACCACTTGGGTGATTAGAACTTAATCTCATAGTAAACTCTGGGAAATGGTGTGGAACACGCACCTCAGGGTGGTCCTGCTGGGGAGGTGAGGGAGCTGAGGTATTTATACTCCAGCTCTTGTCTGTCACTGACTGAGGGCTGCTCCTGGGGGTTGACTTCCATGGCCTGCCCCACATCATAAAGCAGCCTTCTTTATCTTTGAGAAAAACCCTCAGGCAAAGAAATGCAGATGCCACCAACTGGAAGGTCTTCAGGAGCACACTGAGGCTGCAAGACCTGTGGGAGGGCCAGAACACTCAATGTCACTATTACACGCTCTGGTGTTGAAGGGTGAATTTCGCATCTCTTCCTTAGTTGCCTGTGCTTTAACTTTACTGCAGGACTAAGGATGGAGAGAATCAAATTTGGGGCTTTGGCAGGATTTGTTTTCCCATCATTTAATCTCATGTTTGGTGGCTAGATGCAGCTGTTTTCAGAGGCCATAGGTCCTGGATCATCTCCAGTGGGTCTTGGTAGAGCCTCTATGTAGATCGTCTCTTTGGGGCTACCTGCCTGCCAGGGCCCCTGCTGCCTCCTCAAGACAAGGCCACAACCCGCACCACTATTGGCAGCATCTCCAGCAGCCTGTCATCCTACATCTGTAGTAGATGGTATTTCTGTGCCTTTATACTGTGGGTTCTTCCAGGAGAAGGGCTGAGGCTGAGAACAGCTGAAAATTTGAGCAATTGACTGATTTGTTCAGTGCTCATGCATTCTAACATTGTCTTTTAAGTCTCTTCTAGAGAGACTAATTTCTTAGTCTTGGTAATAAAATTATTGGTGAATGTGCCATTTGACCCAATTAGGTCAAGTGTCCTCCCTGGATCCAATCAGGGGTGGAATTTTGTGGAAGGAAAAGACAGGTCCCCCTGCAGCCACACAGCTAGAGTTGGAGAATTGTGAAGGTTGGATAATCAAATAGTTGCCCACCTCCCACACAACAGATACTTTTCCACCCTCTGAACAGGGTCAGCATTGGTGCAGCTGGACGGGTTATGACTTTAAAAATCGTTTCTCAGGCTTTCCTGGGTCTTATTTAAGTAAAACATTGAGCAATGCCACCCTTAGCCTATTCCTAAAGGAAGGGGTCAGCAGTGCCTTCGTGAGGGTCTCCCATTGAAGTAAAGGTGCTCCACCCCTGCTCACATTTTACTGTAAAGTTAAAAGGCTTTGTAAGCCCAAGCTGAAACAGAATTGGTCCTGTCACCTTCATTTTAGCATTTGTCCTGGGTTCTGGAATATTGGTTGCCCATGACTTAGCCGTACAGTTCAGGGACTGCTGGGAAACTTAAATTTTCAAATGTGAATCTGATCTGTTTGGGCTAAGCTTGCAAACTATCACCCTAGGAGTAAAGTGATCATGACACCTCTGTTTTTAAGCCAAAGGAAGTCAGGCAAGCTGCTCATGTGTCACAGTAGCATAGTGTGTTGGTATCATGCAGAGCCCTTGATGATGAGAAAATATCAACAACCCAGTCCCGTGGAGAGAACTACTGCACGGCAAAGATCCTCATAATTTAAAACAGTGCTAAGGACATGCTCCCATATTTAAAAAGCACATTCCACGGAAGAAGAGGTTGAAACTGCAAGAGGATTGGAGACTGGAGGGACTATTATTAATATAGAAATGGCAGAGGATTCTAGAATCCTGGAAATATCACCTCCTTGGCAATTGTGCTTTACATTATCATTTGAAATATGCCTTAGTTGAGGCATTTGAATAATCAGGGCAGGACTTTTAGGTGCTTTGGGCTTTGGCCAAAGAAGCTGCATTTTTAAACAGAGCTTTTTTTTTTTCTTTCTGGTGCACTGTTCCTGGAAGTACTACAATACCAGGTCGATGCGTGGAGTGGACGGAACTCCTATTTCAACTCCCTGCTCCAAAAATCCATTTAATATATTGTCCTTGGATAGAGGACGTACCAGATATTCAACTGGTAAGAACAGATACTACACTTGATCTTAGCCAAAGGCTGAGAAGAGATAACACAGAGCTTTTAAAGAACAAGCATAAACAGTGCACGTAATATGTAGAGCTGTGCCCATCGTTGCAATCCATGCCAACGTCCAGATTTAGTGACCAGTCAGATTGCTTTGTGTCCAGATTGCTTCGTGGCCTTTCAGTGGAAGATGCAAGGTTCCCCTTAAAGTGAGCACAGTAACTCCACCTCTAAGGGTAATTCTGTCAAATTCCGGTGCAGCCACACACCATCCTTGGGGACCTGGGGTAATTTTTGACGTCGGAGGGAGCTGGGATTCTCAGTTGGCCAGTGGGATCTATGGCATTGAGACCCAAGAGGAAATAGAGCAGGGCTCCTCCAGAGATGATATCTGCCTTCATTGTGGAAGAGCACAAAGAGTGTTGGACTCTAGACTGTTGGCTGAATACCTTCTGTTCCTACAGTGGGGTACTTAATAATGATGGTGGGCTTGGTGGGGGTGATGATGACTCAATCTTAAAACACAAACAACCAAGTCCAATCATAAAATTCAGATGGACAAGGGAAACTCTTTGGAATGCAATCTTCGATTGCTAGGTTTCTCTATTTTTAAATTGATCATTGTGGATAAAATCAGAGCGGAGCCCACAGAGAAAAGAATTTGAACACTGGGTTACACTATGAGGGAAAGGTTGAATTTCTTTGAGAACTAAATGGAGGCATCTGTTTTGTTTAAATTAAGGGTCTTTAAGCACCAGCCAGGGACTAAGTTGACAGCCACTCGTGTAATAAAGTAATAAATCATGGGGATGGTTAAGGAAGCAGGAAACACCACATTCTTGCTTTGTTCAACCAATTAAGCAATAAGCCATCTGGGTCCTTTTGTTAATTACTGTCAAACACAACTTACACAATTGAATTCAGCCTTTATTTAATTATATTAATTTATTCCAGCAACTTCAAATACTAACAATGCCAATGACAAAGTTCATTGAAAAATAGAGGTCTTGTTTAATTTTTATTTCTCAACCATTAATACCCTTTACAAAGTTGCCATCAGAGAATTTCTAGCTCTGTTTCAGCCTCAGAATGTTAGGGGCAATTGTGTTGAATACAGACAAGTCTGAAGGAAGCAAATGGTGGCTGAATTCTCTTCTCTCAATGGGGTGATAAATCTGTCTAGATTAGTGCTACCCAGTAGACCTGTCTGCACTGATGGAATGTTCTGTTATTCGTGCTCTCCAACTCCGTGGCTTTTGAGCACTTGAAATGTGACCAGTACAACTGAGGAACTGAGCTTAAACTTTCTTTAATGAATTTGCAGTTAGATGGCCACATGCAGCCAGCGGCTCCTAGCACGGGTCTAGAGTGTATTCTGGGGAACGAGAAACACAGTGGACCATTGACTTCAGCAGGTGGGGAAGGAATGCATAATTATGACAGATATTGTTTAGAAATTCTCACTTCCTACTTAGTGTTTCTTATTCGAAATACACTGTGTCCTGAGACGGCCCAGAGGAGATCAGCATCTTTGAGGGGAGGTTTCTAAGCTGACCATGTGGAGAGAGAACTCCATCTGGAAGAGAAATGGGCGTGAAGTGTTCTTAATTAAAGAACCAACCCCACTCAGTAGCCCTTATGGCTGAACTCAGTGGGCCAGGTCACAGCAAGAGAGCCATTCAGCTGCTCTGCCCTGGTGGGATATCTGCTTCCCATGGCTGAACGTCCAGCTGTGGGCACATCTGGGGGTCCCAGACAGTTCCTACAGGCCAGAGACAGCCCTTTTAGCCCTCATAGACATTAACACCCAACCCTAGATCCTCTCATGAGAATTTTGGCTCAGATGCTGGCATTCCCCTTCCAGGGAATGTCTGCCTCTTTGCAAAGGTTGCTCTTTCCAATCCAGTCCATGCAAACCCTGTAACAGGGCATCAAGAGAGTCTCTCAACTGTGTATGCTTCTGTTAATGGGAGTGTTCTGTCTAAGATGACTCAACACCAGTGACTAGAGAGACACATATTGCATGAGAATCCAATTGTGGTTAATCAAGCTAGTGCAGGGTGAACGGAGGTAGAAAGTTTAGAGGAAATTCTCATTAACATGAAAATGTCTTAGAGTCCAGGTCTACTAACTCTTTTCAGCTGCTAGGCTGAGCTAAAGAATTGGGCCAAAACTCTCTCCAAACCTATTTTTCTCTCAGTAGCCTGCCTCCCTTCCTTCCTCTGAGCTATGTCTCACCCAATGAACATGAAATTTGTCCTCATGAGTCTAATCCAAAGCTTTTTGGGTGTCCTGCCTTTACACACTCTTCACACTTCAATTTTCATGTTTGGCTACACAGACAGTTCAAGGTAAGGCCATTTGCAATAAATGGATTGACTGGAATTGTGTATCCTGAAGATGTTGCCAGTCCTCTTTCCTCAATCAGAGATAAAAGCAATTATTTAGTGCTCAATGGAAAAAAAAAAGGACAAGAATCTTCTGCACTATGTAATGATCATCTATCAGTGATGAAGACAATGTGACTATAAATTCATATTTCCTTTTCTTTTTCTATAACAGCCGGTGGTCAATGAAATAAGGTGCAAGAAGGAAAGACTTCCCATATTCATTCACGGAGCTTTCATCGCTGCTATCACCACTGCACAGACACCAAGGGTCTGCTCCATGAAATGCACCTGCTCCGGGAGTTCCCTTGGGGTCACACTGTGGTCAGAAGCCACGCTTCTCTTTTCTTTGTGACACTGACATTCATCGTTCATCCACAGTGCTGACATTGTCAAAGCGCCACAGCTGGCTGGCTTTTCCGTCACACTGGCGCAAGTACAGATCTCTACTGTTTTCCTGCACTACAGCTTCCATGCATTTCCCAGAAAGAATGTGAACAATCATTCCATTCTGAAAAGAAGGAAGAAAAGGGGGGGGGGGGACAGGAAACCAGTCAGTCCCCAGCAATCAGTCAGCAAAGAAGGAAATTTCTAAGATTTGTGCTAATCATTAAGAGAATAATAGAATTGGTGTCAATTAGCCTGGTAAGGAATTGAAGAATTTTGATTAATATATAATATAATTTAGGTAGTCCTAAAATTTAGGTATCATTCAGAGCCTTGGAATCATTAACTCAATTATCATTATTGTGGTTGGGTAATGATGCCATTTCTTAGAGAGTTCTGACTAGTAAAATGCCAGTGGAAAGATCATGTTCAGTCTTTATCCTGTATTGGTGACATTGATTGTTACCACTGTACTTGTAAATTTCTGCTTTCTGAAGGACTTAATTTAATCTCTGCCCTCTGTTAATCCTGCAATTTAGTATTGCCACCACCAGGTGGCAGTAGCAAGTAAGACATTGAGGATGCACATGTTTGGAAGACTACGGCCACTTCCTGCTCAAAATCGACCAAATGTGATACTGAATCTAGCCTTCTTCTTTTCAAGAAAAAATCAGTTTCTTTATGAAAAGTTAAACAACCTTAACCAACAATGCTGATGATGTCTGTCTATTTATTTATTTAGGGATATAATTCACATGCCATGATACTCACTGTACTAAAGTACACAACTCAGTGGATTTCTGTATATTCAGAAAGCATGTGTGACCATCACCACTCTAACTACAGAAAATTTCATCACTGTGAAAAGAAACCATTAGCAGCTACTTCCCATTCCTCCCTCCTTCCAGTCACTGGAAATCACGCTTCCACTTTCTATGTTTATGGATCTGTCTCTTCTTGACATTTCATGTAAATGGAATCATACAATATGTGGCCTTTTATGACTGGCTTCTTTCCCTTTGCATGATAGGTTCAAGGTCCATCCATGTTGTAGCATACATTATACCTTCTTTTCTTTGGCAGTGGTAAAAATATAAAACATAAAACTTTCCATCTTAACCATTTTTAAGTGTGGAATTTAGTAGCGTTGAGTATATTCTACATCATTGTGAAACAGACCTCCAGAACATTTTCTTCTGTCTAAACTGAAACTCTATACCCATTAAACAACCATTTCCCTTCCCGCCCCCTGACCCTCATGCCGTAACCACCGTTCTATTTTCTCTTTGTATGAATCTGACCACTTTAGATATCTCATGTCAGTGGAATCATACATCATGTGCCTTTTTGTGACTGGCTGTTTCACTTAGCATCATGTCCTCAAGGTTCATCCGCACTGAAGCAAGTGACAGGATTTCCTTATTTTTAAGGCTGAATAATATTCCATTGTGTGTACGTAGCGTATTGTTTATTCATTCATCAATCATTGGACCCTTGGGTTGCTTCCACCTCTTGGCTACCGTGACTAGTGCTGCTATGAACAGTATCTTACTCCTTTTTAGGACTGAATGAGAATACTTTTTTAAAGTCTTATTTTTTTAATACCTGAAAGATGCCAGGTGTATCTTAGTCATTAATTTTTTACATACTATTTTAAAATGTTACTTCAAAATCTATCTTATCCAGAGGACTTGCTTAGAATGATCCTTTGTGGTCATTCATAAAGGACTTTAACTTGGTTTCTAAGCCTACTTTGGGCACGTATGGGCCCCCTGAGTCCTGGATTCACTTGTCACCAAAGCCCCAACAGCTTTGTTCTCAGCTGCTTACGGTGAGTTCAGCTTAAGTTCTGCATTACACGATTTTTCTCTTTCACAGCCTTGCTTTACGAGCACCCATGTGTGGAGGTCTGCTTATTTTGCCCTGCTTTATTCTCAAGCAAAAGTTGAAGAGAAGAAATTTTTAAAAGATGTGTGTAAATTTGTTTGTTTGTGTACTTATACCCTAGCTCATTTAGGAAGGGCTTTGAGGTGAAGGCAAAACCATGTGTGGACCTTCCAGTCCCACTCCTGTAGCCCGCTCACTCTCCCTAGGTACTTAACACACCTCCTGCTTTCTCATCATTGACACACAATCTCTGGAGAGGACCCAGAGGTTCTCTCTAGGCTAATGGGAATCAAAGTCTTACCAAAATGATGAAACACTCACAGTGGGATTTGCAAAGGAAGCATGTACCATCCACCTCCACATCTGTTTGGTGGTGGAATGGGAGGTGGGCCTTTCTGTTGCCCCTAAGGCCACACCACCAGTGTGAGTGACTGCTTCTGTAACACGCTCCACTGTCCTACTTGTGATCTGAGCTAATCAACTTTCAAAAGGGACCAGATCCTCTCTCTGCCGTGCTCATGATCAGAGCTCCACAGAAACCTGGCAAATTAGAACATTTTAAGATGCTGGCGGAAAACCCTGCTGCAAGGTTGGCTTTCCCTCTAAGGCCTCAGTGTCCTGCCACTAAGTTGGACCGACAACAGGGACACAGGTTTGTACAGTAATAATTGACTCTTGGAAGAGCTAGCAGCACGGCAGAGCCCTCCCAGACCGGACTGCTTACCTCCTGGTGGTCCCAGTGCTGCTGATGGATGCCAGGGCCTTCCTCGGTGCAGTTCTGAAGAATCACTTGCTCTTGCCTGACATCGAAGCACAGGTGCCGTGGGCTGCCAAAGTGGATCTCCTTCCTGCCCGTGTGCTCCAGATGCTAGACACAGGGAAGGGTGGTTAGCACAGCAAGGAGAGCGTCTCCAGAGCTGCTGATGGGGGCAGGGGAGCTCACCGCGGAAGGGCTGAGGTCTAGGGGCCGTCTTCAGACTCTAATGGGGTCAGTAAGACCCTACCTCACCGTTGAGTCCACAAACAGGATCCCAGACTAGCCCTAGCCTCTGAAATGTCCACATTCCAGCTGCTTCTGCATCCATAGTTATGCATGCTGCCAAGTTCCTCCATTTCCTATTGACCGTGTCACAGGTGAGGCCACGAAGGATGCTATGTTATTTGGAGGGGACCGCTGGAAGGCCGGACGAGGGAACCTCTGAGGCCCAAGCTGAACTCTTTCTGGCGACATCTGACCTGGCCCTGTAAGTAATTCACCTGCTGACTCTCGCTCATGGTTTTTATTTCCTCCAGGGTTCCAGCCCACTGGGTCTTGCATTCCTCTGCAGAGGGACTTTAACTGCGGGAAGCCCATAGGGCCTGTTTGGAGAACACATTCTGATAAAACCATTTTCTGTTTGGTCCTGCCCCAGTGCAGCTTGAACTAATTTTTACACACTTTTCGCGGCTAGGGCTGGCTTCATCGGCATGTGACCTGTGCAACTGCCGGGAACCTTATGCTTAGAAGGGGTGAATGTTCTCAGTTTAATATACTCAGTTTAATGCTGTTGCTGTCTTGAAATTCTTTGGTTGGTTGATTTTGTGGGCGGGAACGCAGGTAATTAGGTTTACTTATTTATTTAATTTATTTTTTAATGGAGATCCTGGGGATTGAACCCAGCACCTTGTGCATGCTAAGCACGTGCTCTACCACTGAGCTACACCCTCCTCACTGGAAATTCTTAGTAATTGTTGAAGGATAGGTCTCACACTGTCATCTGCAACAGACCCAGTACATTAGGTGGCATTCCTGCTGGAGGACTGCCAGACCACACAGTTCATACAACTTTGAACCCTAAAACCAAATTAGATGCAACCTTGTGGTTAAAATTTTTCAGGGGAGGGTAACTTTCTCCCAGGCAAAGGCCTGTAGAGACACACCCGCCTCCTTGGCATCTTCCTGTGGCAGTGGGTGGATATTCCTGGCCCCACTGTTCACGGATAGGTCACTCTGGGAAGGTCAGAGCTGGCTTTATGCAGGACTCTCATTTCCAGACCCTCATCTCTCACAGGCTGAAGGTGGGTTTTCATGCTAAGTCCCGCCTGGAAACGTCTCTGGGATCCTGAGGTTGGACAGGAAGTGTCTGTCTCCTGCCCCGCCGGAGAGCCTGGTCACACCTAATGACTCTATTTTCAGTTGCCTCTCGATTTCCGGCCCCTGGAGATTTCCCTTTGTTAGAAACTTAGTTACTGATACAGAAAAGAAGGTGTCTCTTCTTATTTTTTCTGTAGTATGTGGTGCGTTCAGTTTAGCTGGTTCACAGTTTTGCTGGTTACAGAAGTCCTTGCCAATCCCCATCTCCTCACCAAGAATCAAAATAAGTAAATGAATAAATCCAAAAGCTAGCGTCCTGTTTGCACGAGGGAGACTGTTATCCCGAGTTGCAGATGAGGAAACTGAGACTCGGAGAGGTTAGGAAGCCTGCCTGATGTCACACAGCTGGAAGGTGGGCTGTTCCCACCACATCCCACGGCCTCCGCACTTGGCACTTTCTCCCTGCCCTCCTCTGGTGCCAGGTGTGAATGCTATGGGTGTGTTCTGGAACACTGGTAAAGGGCAGGTCAGTAAGAGGCCAAACGAATACTGAACACCTGCCTCCCCATGTGTCCTCCAGGCCCAGAGCCTCGCTGGTCCTGCATGCAGGGCTGGACTCCAGACCCTCCACGACAGGCTCTGCCTTCCGCCCGGGCTCCCGGGGCCTCACCAGGCTTGTTTGATCAGTATCTCCAGGAACTTAGTCTTTGTTGTTTGTAATAGAGGCCGTTGGGACAGGATAGCTTAATGCACAGGCTGAGAGGAGAGGGGTTTGGGGGTGGGCTAGACTTTCTAGGTCATCATCCAACTTGTGAAAAGAAGTGATCTCACCGAATATAATTTGGAGCAGCCACTATGGAAAGCAGTATGGAGATTCCTTAAAAAACTAAAAATAGAGTTATCATATGATCCAGCAATCCCACTCCTGGGCATGTATCCTGGAGAAAAGTCTAATTTGAAAAGATATATGCACCCCAATGTTCACAGCAGCACTATTTACAACAGCCAAGACATGGAAACAACTTAAATGTCCATTGACAGATGATTGGATAAAGATGTGGTGTGTGTACACCAATTAAATTTTTTGGATGATCTCATAGTACTAGATCCACTTTCATCCAAGACAAAGGACATTCACTGAGGCTGGGGCAGCTGCTCCTGAGTGACAACAGCTTCTACCCAGCTCACCGAGCTCATTCCCCTTACCCGCCAGAACTCTGGAGATATGAGTTTGCAGCCCCTGGGATGGCCACCTTCTATGCCTCAGTTTCCTCATCCATCTGGTGAAAGTATTGGCTAAACAGCCTCGCCCTTTCCCTCGAGCTCAGATGCTGGTACTCTCTGACGATGGTCCCCGTCGGTGCTTGCAGCTGGCGCAGGATGGGGAATGGGTCACCAGAGTGGGGGACCAGACACTGTCAAGGGACATGGGATCCCTGGAAGGAGGTGGCCCTAAGGGAAGGGAGAGACATCCCAGGACAGAACCCTTGCAGGTCTGAGGACACGGACCACCCACCTGCTGCTGCTGGCTGTCCCTGCAGGGAGCCAGCATCACGGCACTGCCCAGGAGGTCCCCTTCAGCCTGGCAGTCTGCACAGAAGCCAAGTCCGGTGTTGTGGAGCTGTAAGTGGACATCCACACAGAAGTGAACCCCGCCCTCCGCTGTAAAGACGCCCTCTGTTCCTCTCTTCCCTCTGCAGTGTCCCTCAAGGTTCCCTATGTGTTCAGGCCACAAAAACGAGTGAGGTCAAGCTGAAGCCACCCATTCTAAGGGACAGGCCTCCTGAAGGAGGCAGCAGCACCTGCGCTGGTCAGGGGCCCTGGGATGGGTTACGGGGCAGCCCAGCCACCCTCTCAGGGAGGCACAGGAGCCTCAGAGGCCCCCCTCTGAGCTGGGACTGGCCAGCCAGGGTCCCAGAAGAGCCTCTGAACATCAGCTCGTGTCTGGAGAAGCCACCCAGCACCTCCCTTTCCTCCTTCTCTTCCCTACATCATGCCTTGCCTTTCCAGAGAACCTGGGCCTGCGTTCAGAGGGGTACAGCTCAGGATACACGTTGGCCAGAAACCAGTGGAACATGCGACAGCCCAGCCTCCTCTGCAGCTGCTGGCGCTCAGTGCAGTCGGGCCTCTCAGCCTGGGGAGGAGAGAGACACAGGCAGTGTGAGAACAATGGTGTTACATCAGAATTCATGTGGGGTGCCGGACAGAGGGGTCTGGGAGGACGCTGAAGGGCTGGGCCAGCACACATCACTGTGAACCATGTCCCGCGTTAAATAGCACCCATGTGTCCTGCCATAAGGACTGAGCTGGGCGGTAGCTGACCAGTTGAAAATGCACTGTTGGTGAACGTTTCATGAAACGTTTAAATTTTTATTTTTCTGTGCCTTTCTTGGGGAATCCTTTCAGTTTTGGAGGCACTGGATTGAACCCAGGACCTCATTCAGGCCAAGCATGTGCTCTACCACTGAGCTATATCCCCCATATCTTTCTATGTTCATTTAAAAATTTTTTGTTTTTATTATTTAAATTAAAACCATTTTTTTCAGGTGTAGGATAGGTAATTAGGTTTATTTGTTTATTTAAATGGGGGTACTGTGGGTTGAACCCAGGACCTTGTGCATGCTAAGCACGCACTCTACCACTAAGCTATACCCACCCACCATGTTCATTTTTCTACTTATATTTGTTTTGCATCTTGGGAAATTTCACAGCCTTGAGAACTTTTCCCAGGATGAAGGGGCCTTCTGTCTCAGCGCTTACTCCCCACCCAGTCTCTCCTCTGGCCACACGACGAAGGATCACACCCCTCAGATGTCATCCCACAGACATCAGGGGTTCCAGGCCAAGACCAGCTGTGATGCCTCTGGGAGATGCTGGGAGAGCCAGAGGCCAATCCACCAGGGAGAGGCCCTGCGTATGGGGGAAGCACAAGCTGGAAGCTTCTATTTTCCCTTCCAGGAGGGAGGGGAGGTGTCCCGGCCCAGCCTGCAGCTGGGGGCCCTGTGTGGGCACAGAAGCCCTTACCTGGCTCAGGGAGAAGGCCTCTGGGCTGTGCCTGTAGAAGGTTTCTCTGAACGAGCCCAGCCAGGTCTCAGCGATGCGCACCTTGTTCTGCAGGAAGGCCTCCTGGTCGTGGAGGGAGCGGGCTTCCTGACTCCGGTAGACGTGCCCCACCCGAGAGCAGGGAAGGATTTCCACGGAGCCCCCACAGAGCCAGGCCTGCCGCGAAAGGAGGAAACAGACACCTCCATCTTCCTCTCCAAGGAGGTGGGAAGTAAGGGACCCCAGGGGTGGGGGTGGGGGGTGGCCGGCAAAATGCCCAGGAACTCAGGAGTATACGACGGTGAAGAAAGTTCTGGTCCCCAGGGTGGAGCACAGCTCCCAGACCCGAGGGCCCTGGGCAGGGGGTGACAAGGTGGGGAGGAGGGCGGGTGTCCTGGGTCAGAACCCGTGGGGTGAGAGGCACAGCCCTGCTACCACCTGAACGTGCCCCCCATCCCCAAAACGCGTGCCCAGATTCGGCACCTAAGAGACGTGGCTGGGCTGCCAGCACTGCGAGTCCCTGCAGGTGCTTCCTCAGGGAGAAGGGCATCCCGAGTGGCCAGGCCGTGTCTACAAGCTCGTGAGGTCTCCTGCTGCCAAAGTAGCAGAAGCCATTTGTGTGGAGATCAAAGCCAGCTTTCCTTAAACACAATCTTTCTGCTTCTGGAAGCTTCTCTCTGTCCTCCACTCACTCCCTCCTACTCCCAAATGCCTGACATTCATTTGACAGGAAGGCCTTTCGTTCCACACGTGGGGATAAAGATGAAAGTGAAAACATGCCTAGGATAGGCAGCTTGTGAGCCAAAACACACCAAGAACGGAAAGCATGGGAGTTCCCAAACTGTGTGCCAAGGCACCCCAGGGTGCCGCAGCGAACTCAAAGAGGAGATTTTCAGTGGTCAAGAGAAACACTGTGACATCTGTTGGATGTTCTGCAGACTACAAGCTCAGGGTGATCCATGGTTTCAATCTTAGACGGTGGTGCTTTTAATGATGTATGTCTATGCTGTGGTGAAAAAGCATGTCTCAGGCTGAAAGTCAATGTGGAAGAGAAAATGAGGGTGGTGGGTCCAATCTGACTCCAAGGTTTGGGAAATTGTGTGGTGCCCAGTGAACGCTAAGCTGTTAGGACAAATACTTGGTAAGTTGTTTGGACCAAACTATGCGAAACCCAGCACTGCTTGGTATCTGTGTTGGCCGGAGGGTGCTGTGATGACCTCCGAGGTGCCGAGGGGCCGAGGTGCCGGGAGTGGAGATTGTTCCGAGGCTCTGCACTCAGGTGGAGGTGCCTGATGGCACGCCCTTTCCTAGGGGCAGGCCTGGCAGGTGAGTTCAGGAAGGAGGTTGGGGTGAAATCAAGAAAGATGGAAAAGAAGGAGAAATGAGGGCTCTGACAGACCACGTGGAGTGACTTTGTAATTTGCCTGAAATCTCCAAGCTGTGGCCACACACATGGCTCCAGAGAACTACCTGGGCCTCCCTTGGTGCAGGACGTACCTTGAGAGACAGTTCGAGGTTCTCTCCACCCCGCAGTGACATGAGTGGGTCGTACGCTCCAGTGTTTTGAAAGTAGTGTCTGTCCACCGCCACCACCCCGCCGGGTACTACCGGGCTCCTGGAGAGAGAACAGGGTGAAGTTAGAGCCCTGAGCACCTCGGGGGAATGACTGGTAGGGGAGCTCCAGTGGCCCAGAGCGTGGACTCGGGCTGCAGACGGACTTTGATGCTTTGAAATGCAAGACTGAAGCCAATCAAGCACGCCAGGAGTCCTGATATTTTATGAAAAAGAGATCTCTGGTTGCCTGGGCCTTTTATATCCCTTAGAAGAAGAGGAAGGGACACCAGGGCTCTGTCTCTGTCATGTGGGGACACGGTGGGAGGTGGCAGTGTGCGAGCCAGGAAGCGGAGTCTCGCCAAAACCTGAACTGGCCAGAAACTGGATCTTGGACTTCTACCCTCCAGAAGCGCAAGGCCCTTGGGAGGCCTGTTTGTACCTAAAGCCTTCCCTTCATGTCCCCATATGAGGGCCTCAGGAATAACTTGGGTAACAGTTTGATGCTGACAGGTCCCTTGTCCCACACGCTCTTACAATGTGACATTGACATTGCTCCCCGTGAGAGGTGTGGTCCACGTCTCCTTCCCGTGAACCTTAGTGGGCCTGTGACTAAGGTGCAAGGGACCCTAGGTGACCTCTGATACTCAGTTCTAGAAGGGAACACAGATCCTGAAACATCACACTAAGTGAAAGAACCAGACACAAAAGGTCACATACTGTACGATTCCGTTGATATGAAATGCCCAGAGTAGAGAAATCTGTAGCGACAGACAGCAGACTGGGGGAGGGGACACTTGGAGACACTAAGTGAGGGATTTCACTTTGAAGTGATGGAAATGATTTGGAACTAGACGGAGGGGGTGGTTGCACAATATTGGGAATGTGCTGAGTGCTACTGAATTGTTCACTTTTAAATGGTCAATTTCATGTTACATAAATTTCACCTCAATCATTCTTTTAAAGCGAGGAGGGGGATACAGCTTGCTTTGCCTGATTCTCTTGGGATACGTGCTCTCACCAGACGTAGCAAGTCCCAACTAGCCCCTGTGCAGTGACCTCGCGGACAGTACGGGGGGGGGTAAGAAGCTTCCGTTGGGTCCCAGTGACAGCCAGCACCCAAATATCCAGGGGATTCCAGCCCC